AGTGCCCTGGAAAGACAGATAGAAGATATATCTCAGTTGTACCAAGCTGCTAAGAAAGTATTTGATTTGACTCCATTTGACTGTCGTAAAAAATGGTCATAAATCAACCTAGGGCTTCAGCTGGCAAGGGCAGGGATTGAAAATCAGCCAATGTGTTACTGCATATTGGGAAATGATAATAATAGAAATAATAAAATTTCCGATATGATTAACGAATATTTGCTAACTCGATAACGTTGTAATTTCAACAACACAAATTTAAATAAAATTGTATCACTTTACTAAATTACCAAGTTACTGGACATGTTCTAATGCTGCAATTAACAGCAAATTGATATGATATATTAACAGCAAATTGATCAAAATCGTAATAGTCGAAAGCAGATTCTCGTTGCATCAAGTGGGATGGTAAAAATTCAGTAATATGCTGCACCAATACATAATCCTAAACAATTGATAGTGTCAGTGTAAACCTATATTAAAAAAGAACCAAAAATATTTAATGAGGGATGTTTTTAAAATAATTAAAAAATAAAATAAAATAAATTTTGTAGAATTGTAAAAATTGAAACCAATTCTTTAAATTGAGTTCTAAAACAAAAGAGTTCTCTTAGGTGACGTCAGTCAACCATCGTCAATTTGCGTTTAATTTCTTATTAAGTTAGGTTACGATAAGTAGATGCAGATAGGCTCACTTAGGCCTTAAGAAATAATTTACTTGAGATACTACATAGATATTTATAAATACTTTAGGTGACTAAATCTTATTTTTAACCGAAAAACCATTTTAGGCTTATTAATGATCGTCAAATACTATGCTATTACAGGTAGGTTTATTATTTGATATTAAGTTTGATTTCTGTTTCGCTTACGATCTTATACGCAGCTAATAGCTCAGGAGACTTGTCACCAATATATTTTTCTGTTGCGTATTCATATGTAGGATCGCTACTTGGTTTTCATCTTACCGGCATGGTAATTCCAGCCGATAACACTAATAGTTCTGAAGGCATTATCTACTTTCAGGTGCACTGTGGGTACTTATGTACACCTCCCTCACCATGGCAAAGGGTTTACACCCTTTTTCTCTAAAATATAATATAAAAACTTTATAAAACGAGATGAGGCATTATTATTACTGTGATTATTTAATATTTTTTTAAAATGTTGCTTACGTTATATTGACATGACTTCCTATTAAGTTTAAATAAATCGATTAAGATATCCTAAACTTTTTATTGGATCTTCTCTATACAAAATATCCCACCAGCACCATAATCAATATTAAATTTTTTAATAATTTTTACCACTACCTAAATGTAATTAAAAAAAGGTCTGATATTTAAAATATGTACATTATATCAAAAGATTTAACATTTTTTTTTACTTCGATTATTAGTTCAATATATTGAAATTTCATTTTGATATGCGGCAATACCCATTTTCTCTTAAATAAAACTGAAGTACATCACAGAGAGTTTAGACACATGCGTAGAGTAAATTTACTCAAATTTTTTATTAAAATCGAATTTTCGAAACTAAATTAGCAATCGTAACAGTTTCAAATTGTGTTTTTATATGCAAAACTAAGCCACCGTTCGGTAGTCTCACAACAACATTGTTGCACCTAAAATGTATGACGAGAAAAATCTATTTTCATTTTAGCTTATGTGGATGCTGAAATAGTTTATGGCATGGTTGAATGGATGAACGAACGTACATGGGAACTTAAGGCAATCCAGTCCACTTCAATCGAATTCAAAACAGAAAGGGAAAACTGTTGAAAAAACTAGGAAGGAAGTTTGAAAAAGTTTCTGAAGATTAAGCATTGACCTGTTTACACTCAATCGAATTTTACGCTTTTCACAACACAAGATTATAATTCTTCTAGTTTCATCTTTTTATACTTTTTTCATTATTTTTTTTTGTTGTTTTTTGTTTTGTTGTTTCATATTTCTTTTTATCTATTTATGATGATTTTGGTATTTTTTCGTAATTTCTTCTAGTAGTTAAGTTTTGTTGGTCGTTTGTTTAGTGTTGTTTGTGTTATCAATTTTATGAAACAACCAATCCTTACTGCTCGAGCGATGACGGCTAAAACTTAAAGTACCTCCACTCTTGGCTGTCAGAGTAAACGACTTCCTGTCTAAGAGTCAACAGACTAGTCAAATGTATTTGCCCATTAAGAAGTATGCGGGCGGAAGCGTGATGCCAACATGTTCTTTAATACTTGCCGAAGGGACCTTCACAACGTATATTCACGATGTATGTGTGTTAGCATTGTTTGTGTGTAAATAAATCTTGCATTATGGCAACAAGATAAATAATAAATTACTATTGAGGTCAATGCAAAGAAAAAAAAAGATTCATTCGATGCTTTGCAGCAAAAATATCTAGAAAACAAGTACTTTAATTGTATGTTGGAAATAAACAAATATTTTTCACATTTTGTTACAGGGAAAGTAGTAACAATTGCAAAAGAGGAACTAAATTCTTATTATGGGGTTTGGGTTTGAACGTTCGAATATTTTCACGCGTAAATATGTATTGAGTAGTCGTGCTGCATTTCCTTGATTAGAATAATTAAAGAAAATCTTTTTGTAATTTATATCAACATATGTAATGTACACTATTATAATTTTGTAGTTTTAATAATGAAATTTTAAATTATTAACTAACTCGAATTTCATTAGTTATATATTTATTTTTATTTTAAAAAGTAATAATTATGTCATTTCAATAATATATACCTTCTGCTCAAAAAGTACTCGTATTTTGTAAATAAAACACACAAATTTAAATTTTATTCCATATTTATTTTATCTCCTTCAAAATATGCTCCTTCTGAAGCGATACACATATGCCCACGCTTAACCCAATCTTCCATACACTTTTTGTAGGCCCGTGCAGGTATGGCTTTTAGTTCCTTTAGCGAATTCTCTTTTACCGATTCAATCGACTCAAAACGCTTACCACGAAGGGGCAATTTGAGTTTCGGGAACAGGTAAAAGTCGCACGGTGCTAGATCTGGCGAATATGGTGCCTGAGCGATGACAGTGGTGCCGTGATGGCGCTCAAATTTGTACCATATGTCAAGAAAGGGTGTATTAAGTTAAAAAAAGAAAATCTTTGAAAAATGTCTATTACTTAAGGAGCAGTTAACAAACAACAAAATCCGGATACTTTTTGAGCAGAAG